ATATTACAAATATGTACATGGAGGGATTTTCCTCAAAACAAAGCCTTCAAATTGGATCCTACAATGTATACGGTATTAAAATCTTAATGGACCCTAGATAAACTATTCGTCAGGCTGAAGCATTCATACTTCGATGACAGGTCACTAATTTTTTAGGTCTGTCTAGCATCGTCAAGGTCAAAAAGGACACATGATGACTGATCAGTTATATGCCGTTGATAGGGAAACGTAGCATTTGGTCAGTCTTCTGCTTTTCGAACCTGTTATAACCATTGTATGATTTATCCCTATGAGGGGATGTATTCTAGAAAGTCACTTGTCAAATCATGTTTGGTACTGAAAATGAGATAGGACTTCGATGTGTACTAGAAGCCACAGAATGATTGTCTAACCAGATAAGACCATGAAAACTCATTTGGATCACCTGCAGTGGTGATCTACAACTGGTTATTAGATTTATTCTGAAAACTGTTTGAATTAACAGTATACAAATCATTCACCTGAGCGAAGACTTACACATCAGTGCTCAGTAAAACTCATGTTCATAAGTTCAGTTAGATGACTACCCTATATTTTTGCTTACCTATTTCCTATTCACCATCTCAAGCTACATATTATTTTACTTAACACATTCAATAACCGATTTATTCTTGTTTAGCGGTAAATACACCTCCGTATAGTTTCGCTTTTCGGGTTGATTTCATCAAATTTAATTAATATGATTGTAACCGAAGGCGACAGGGCTTTTACTTATCTGATGAATCTCCACGAGAAATTCTTCACATATTTACTTCATCAGTTCTTGTAATATGCAATAAGGTTCACTAGACTAGAAGGTATTCACAATGCATATTAAATTATCATTCTCGTTGCAGAGCTCCGCCTTATTCTTTTTGTTTTTTTAGTTGGAACTAAAGATGAAGTTAGTGGTGTTATGCTGAAACCGAATACCTACTTCCTACACGACGTTGTGAAACAATCTTCTATCAAGTTCACCTATTTATTCGACCACAAAGTTGTTTAAAAGTACTTGGTTGATGTACAGTCATGCCACTATACTTCACTATAATCACAAAGGCTCGTGACGAACACTGCAGTTGGTTTATATTTACCTCTTTTGCCAGTTATGACTAAGAAGTCTCCCTGAAATAATTTTATGAATTTTAGCTACTGTCAAATAAGGGATTGAATCAGAGTTGCTTTAATAGGTGAAAGAGTATATTAACGCACAAATGCGCCATTGGTAGATGCAGTTCGAATTGCACAAAGTATCCAACTAGCAGAACTTATGAAAACAGTTGCCTTAGTGATGAATAAGGTACAGCACTGCGTCGAAAATTCAGAACTAGATCCAGGAGATGCTGATGTCGCATCAGGTGTCGTAACGTTTACTGGGATTAAAACGAAACTTTGGTACTAAATCATGTCATTTTGTCGCTTAGAGCTAGGGAAATGCCATAGCAGACAATCACTGGTTGTTGCAGTCACCGTCATTACTTCCTAAAACAGTTTTATAATTTGTGACAGATAATTATGAAGCGCAAATCCATCGAGGAATGTGGGCGATAATTATGATACCAAACATCAAACTGTAGAAACAAAACACTGAACACAAATTAATCCATTGGGCTGTTAATAAATACAGCATGAATATTCACAGTAGGGATACCTAATACTGAGCCTTTAGAATAACGCTGTGTACTCATGAAATTTTAATTTTCAAATTTTAGTCACGATGATACGTATAAACTTTTTGTGATTTCAGAGAGCTATTTGTCGACATCAGAAATAACAAACTTGTATATAACAGTCGTGATGTTGATACACAAAGATTTGGATGTACAGAATGTGTCTGCACTCCTCAGCGAAGACAGAGCATAACCTCAACAAATACACTGATAAGCTTGATCAGTTTACCCAGCTGTAACGATCAACACACAGAAATGAAAATCGTAAAATTAAATCAGTACATTGAGTCGCAGACAAGTGCCTATTTGTTTTTCTTCATCTAAGATCAGTAAAGCCTAAGAAACTCATATACATAAACTATTTGGAGTCAATTTCGTTGAGAAATTGCAATAACTTAGCAAAGTATCGACTGATTGCATAGTTTTAATTTTTCCAGTTTCGGTTGGCCTGAATAAAAAGACTAAAGTTAAGTTTCTCAAAGATAGTGAATAAAAACTGAATCAGACTCCTACCAACAAAAAGTAAAACAATGAAGGAATCGGAGAATATTTAAGATGTGTCTAGCAAAAGCATTGCTTCGCGAAAACTTCTGGATTTACTTATTTATCACCTAGTTATTTAGTCATATGTATGAACGTATTTCGTACCTAAATCGAACTTTCAAAGTCCTAAGCCCAACAGGTGGATCCATAAACTATAATCCTGACGTATCTGGATAATAAATGAATGTTTTCGGAAAGTGTTAGCCACAGCAGCTTTAAGAATAAACTTGATAAACACGTACTCACATACGGAATATCATCTTCCTCTTTTGCCGGCTTTCTGATGAATATCTTGAGACTTGATGGTTGTTTTTAGTTCCATCTTCTCAGCTCAAAACCTAATCTATCTCGCTTATTACTTCTGTTTCCTTTACCTCGTTCACACTTCGGTCCTCTCGCGCAATGTTTACTAACAATTAGCAGACTTAATTATACACTTGTTTACTTAGTTCTGGAATTTTCTGATTAGCATCAGACTTTTCCTACTATTCTCCACATTGCAACAAAGTGATATCAGGCCTAATAACTTGATAGCTGCTGGTACCTAGAAGCCCTACTAACCTGAATCAAACGTACTCATTCAAATCACGGGACATACAAAGTCGCAAACATTGCCGGTTGACTGGAATTAGTGCATTCGATTGACTGAAAGAACAAGAATCAAGCGCAAAAGATCATTAGGTTATATCAGCTGATGAAAATGGCAGTGGCTACTGGATATTGGAAAAAGTGTGTACGGTAGACACGACCTTGAGTGGTTTCAAAAGTGACCTTGCTGGGCTTCGTCTGGGGTCGGTGATACAGATAAAAATTAGGTATTAGTGTTCGGAATCCGGGTAAGCAATTAGGGTCGGTGTTTTGATCTCAAATCAAAATAATTTAAAGTTAATAAATTCTTTTTTCAAAATGAATGGATGAATTCCATACAATAGCTGATTAGACAATATATATGTAAACCATAATATATGGAGTACATTTGAGTGATGCTAAGTAGCTTTTAAAAAACTCATGTACTTGTCGGTGCCGAAAGCTGATTTAAAATTATTAGGAGGAGTTTTAATCAGGGTTAAGAGCTAAAAGTTAGAGTTTAGGAATAAGATCTGGAGTTTTCATCACGAACTAGCATCTATGATATAAAAACACGATTTAGATACATGGTTGGATCAGTTTTGCGCCGAGACACAAAATCTGCTCTCTCTGAATATTCCGTCTGTATATTATTCACGAGGCTCCATACTAAATCCAACTTGGCTTTGTAAGTATTGTCATTCAACCAGTTTTTCTCTTCTGCGGTTTGAAACTCGTAATTCTTCAGAGATTCTGAAGACAAATGGTGAAGTAGTAGCACAAAGCTGTACTCTTGGCTCTACAATGGCTGATTATGAATGTAAGTCGGCTACGTATTTTCAAAAGCCTCGACTCAACAATGTGCTACAATTCTATAATGTTTCACGAAAATTCCTTTCGATAGCAACCAAAGAATAAATTTCCTACCTTGGATCCGCAATCCTTACATACACAATTCGTGATAGTTTCGCTTGTCCTTTTGGTTGTGTTATACGATATTTGTGGACAATGAAACAGATGGAATGCCTACATGGAAATTAATACCGTATTTGCCCGATTGTTCATCACGATTTCTACTAGCACTATATTACTTCATTTCTGTTCTGTTTCTCCGCGTTTAAATTTGCTGTCGAAATACCTTTTATAGCCCATATCTACTCTTTTTTTTATTCCATTAACATATTCTTTCTGGTAAATGGGTGGTCGGTCAAATGAACATCCTAGTCACAGGCTTGACTCCTAGTTACAGAAACTTAACTTTTAGTTTCTCATTTACAGGATATAATTCAGTACAATAAATGTTACCAAAAGCCCATAAGAAGTATTTAGTGTTACTAAAGTTCTTACGAAAGTATTATTCAGACATCATGCTCAAACAAAATCACCCAATGGAATTCTATTTAAAACCCGCATCTGTTCTTCAGTAGTTATCAACCAGTTAAAAAATTCATGACAACTCAATATCAATGTTTGAATTGCTCCATAGTTTCTGCATGATGTTTATCCTGAGTCACTTATGTAGATAACAGAATATAGCTTACTTGAACAGTTAGATTGCTCCAAAAGTTGTGCTGTTTGTTATCAAGAAGCACAAAGTAGCTACTGCTATCATCTCAAGACAGGCTTATATGTAGGCTTAATGACCTCAGCTGATTTATACCACTTGTACACTTAGTTTCTATTACAATGGTGATAAGCTGAAATAAAAGTAAGATATAAGTACTTTATGGTTGCGTCTGTCATAGTTTCATATTGGTTATCAATGGAAAACTTCAACGACCATGATTTTGATTCGCCTTCTGTAATGTTTGGCTCTTTAAAGTTGTTTGTCGAGTCTAAGTAATAAAATACCATCGTAACTGCTTAGATGATCGTCCACTATGTTGTGGACATGTAATTCATTGAAGCCAAGTGTACATTGATAACAAATTACATGAAGTAGAATTTAACGCAATCACTATGTTTTAAGGTTGAAGCGCACTACCATTCAACCCAAGGTAATCTTTCAATATTTAAATTTGTTGCGACTGAGGTCTTAAAATGTAGTAAGACCCTGCTTTTATATAAAGTGGTTGAGGAAACCCCACTTTTTAGAACTACTCTATTCTCCAAGAAATATATGGTCTGGCTTATTCTTGTCACACAACTTTTGCTTGGTGTTAGTTGTGTTTATTACTGCGAGTATAGACTTCCGGAGTATGAGTGACTTGTAGTTTCTCATTCATTCTACATTAGACAGCCGCGACTAGTTTGTTTTAGAATACTATTCAGACATCAAACAGCGGGTTTTTTAAGTCGGTTCTAATCAACTAGGTTTTGTTATCTAGCTTCAAAATAGTTACGACCTAGTTCCAAACCTAGATCTTAACATTGTTTTTAATCAAAATTGTTACTGTGTTCCAAAAACTGTGTACTTCCTATTTCCTTGTAGTCAGATAAAGTATAATAGATAGGTGGGTTTTCACAAATAATGTAAGAAATGCTTCCTTTTCTAGTTGTTTATTCGAATACTTTTTACTGTATCGGTGATATGCCTATTTGTTTTGTAGAACAGATATTATGAAAATATGGTCTGCGTCAGCTAGTCGAAACATTTATACGTTTAAATAAATTTAATAATAGTCAGTAAGCTAACTCATGCAATCTTCAGTACTGAGGAATTTACAGACCTTATCATGGAGACGTTTCTTCCAGCTTCCTCTTCCAGTCCGCAATTGTTCTACTAAGCATTTGTTATTTTTGACTGAAAGTTCTATACAGGTAAGTAACAGCCAATCATTTATTTAGTTACTTGCCATTCTGTTGTTAGCGACTAAAACAAATCGAAGCAAATGGATCACTTATGAGAATTTTGGTGGATAGTGGAGGCTGTTCAGGATTTCAGTATAAATTTCAACTTGTGGATAAAATTCAAGAAACCGACAAGTATGTTTTATAATTATAGATGGATTATCTGATCGAATTTAAGAGTAATCAAACAAGATGACGTCACCATAGTTATTGACGATGTCTCACTCGAATTTATCAAGGGTTCAACAATCGATTACGAAGATGAATTGATTCGCTCTGGTTTCTGTGTTCTTAACAATCCACAAGTTGACAAAAGTTGCTCTTGCGGTGTTTCATTCAGTCCTAAACTTGACTGACCAAGCTATTTCCATAACTAACCAACTTTTTTGTCTCGTACTGTAAATTATGTTTCGAATATAGTGATTACCTACTACATTGACCAGTTTTCTTATATTTTTAAGTAAATGTTAACGTTTATCTGAAGGTACATTATTCTCATGTGAAATTCTTTCTTTTTGTAGCATTATTGAACAATCCAGTTTGATTTTAGTTCTTTTCAGTAGGCGAAATGATGGATTTACCTGTAGAAGATAAATTGATGATAAAAGAATACACTAAGAATGATACAGACTGTGAATCTATGAACACTATTGTATTAAATAACGATTTACATTTGAAAGGAACTCCTGAATGTACTAACTCTCTGATTTCAAAACTAATGTCTTTTAAACCAACCGGGGATATCACAGAAAAGACTGATGGTTGCAGTGATTCTACTAATGTCTCAGTTATAAACAACAGTGAACCAAGGAATCTTAGTTTCTCGCCACATGAGATGTGCACAGATTCATTCCAAATACAAAATTCTGTTCAGGTTAATAACTCGCTTCAAACTGATACAGAATCAGAAAATGAATGCACTAATGTACAGGTTGATGAATCGGAAAATATGGTGGCTCTTGAATGTCAGAAAGTGAACTGGGTGTATTCTTCTCCAAAAGTGATTGCCTGTGCTGATTCTGAGTTTCAACTGTCGGAAAATTTGCCTTTATCTAATAATTATCTTCGGGGCTGTTTATGGTATGCTTGGTTTCCCTAATATTTTAAAAAGGATCTACCCTTTGAGCATTTTAGTTTATTATCAGTAAAATCGCTTTCACATGTGAAATTACTTTTTATGTTACATCAAAATTATCAGACTTCTTCCTATACAATTAGGTTGCATAGACTATTAAGTGATCCTTTCAGTTGAAGCCGAGTGAGGGCTTATGGCGAACTGTCACCGGAATTCTCTACATCAAGTAGTGTCCGTCAGGGATGTCCACTTTCTCCATTCTTGTTTAATTTTATCATAGACATGCTCCTAGACATAACATTATCCTCGTCTGAATTTTCTGGAGTAGACCTACCAGGTGGCTCGCTTATTGACTTAGAATATGCCGATGACATTGTCCTACTTGGTGAAGACGCTGACAAAATGCAGAGTCTTCTGACTACCCTAAGCGACAATGCAAGCATGTTCGGGATGCGGTTTTCCCCCTCGAAATGCAAAATGTTGCTTCAAGATTGGGTTGCATCGGCACCTAAACTAGTGATAGGGAGTGAAGTAGTCGAACGTGTAGACCGCTTCACCTATCTTGGGAGTCTCATCAGTGCTGATGGCCTGATGACTGACGAAATCTCGGCACGGATACAGAAGGCTCGATTGGCTTTTGCCAACCTGCGTCACTTATGGCGTAGGCGAGATATCCGTTTGCTGACTAAAGGACGAGTGTACTGCGCAGTGGTTCGCTCCGTCTTACTTTATGGCTGTGAAACATGGCCAGTGAGAGTAGAAGATATTCGTAGGTTACTGGTTTTCGATCATAGGTGTCTTCGAAGCATTGCTCGTATATCGTGGGACACCCGAGTGAGCAACGCTGTTATTAGGACACGGGTGCTAGGTAAGAATGGCAGATCAGTCGATGAAGTGGTGAAACTTCATCAGTTGAGGTGGTTGGGACATGTCTTGCCTATGCCGAACCACCGACTTCCTCCACGAACTTTGTTTTGTAGTGTAGGAGTAGGTTGGAAGAAAGTTAGGGGCGGCCAGACCAAAACATGGCAGAAATCCATGAAGTCATTGACTAGTGGACTGAGCCATGTCGGTAATTGTCAACTACCTGGTTGGGGTCCGCGAGATGATAATAATCGATGGTTAGAGACCTTGAATGACATGGCTCAAAATCGTTCGCAATGGCGCCGGTGCATTTATTCTCTGTGTTCTCTCAAATCCTAATCTTCTGGATTCTTCAACACCTAGTTTCGACTCTCCAGACTTTTCTCACTGAATCATACTTCTTGAATAGTATCTTCTAATCCTAACCTCTCCGATTACTTCTAATTCCCTTACTACCTCTTCTACTATTGGATTTGAATTGACGATTACTTCTCTGTGCTGATGTGGTATGGCAACATGAACTGATGTACTTATGTACAAAGTTCTACGTTGCATCTGACTGACTGTCTGACATCTAGATTTTTCTTTTCATGTGACTCGTTAGAAGGGTCGAATTAAAATGTTGGTCATTTCAGTCAGTCAAGTACAACGTAGAACTTCGTATGTACGTACATCAGTTCAGGATGCCATACCACGTTAACACAGAGACGCAATTATCAATTCAAATTCCACAATAGTAGAGGTAGTAGAAGTATTCGTAGTAGTCGGAGAGATTAGGGTTCGAAGAGATGATTCAAGAAGTATATTCAAGTGAAATAGATTAAAAAGAGAAAGAGAGGAAGAATCCAGAGGATCAGGATTTGAGAGAAGCCAAATGATGGATGCATCTGTGCCATTGCAAATGGTTTTCAGCCGTGTCATTCAAGGTCTCTAACCGTCGATTACTATTACTGCGTTATGGCAACCTGAACTTATGTACTCATGTACAAAGTTCCACGTTGTAACTGACTGACTTCTTGAAATCCCGTTTTACTAATTCCCACCATAAATGAACCGTGATGTTTTTCAATTGCTTAAATCATGTTTCAACCTTTGGTCATTGATTTGCGAATCGCTTTGGGTTAATCGAATGTTAAATTATGTGACATCTAGTGTAAAATTTTATATTTCTGATGTATGTCAACTTCATAAATGCGTACAGAATATTTTTAAGAAAACACAATTTTCCAGAATGAATATGCTGTTGACCTCAATATTTTCAGTCAGGTCTGTCTATAAGGCAATCAATCTGTAGGTGGAAGATGTATGTTTCATCCTAATATTAAAACTTCCATTTATCGCAATACATACCATAGTCAATTCAAATTTGGCAAAGATGTGCATTAATTATAATTATCGCTTCAAATTGACACAAATAGACGAAATCAGTAAGATGAATACCAAAGTCCTACCAATAGGAGGGTTATCGGTGATAATACAAATGCTAAAGATATAGAGTATGGTTCAAATAGAAGGAATAAAATATAGCGATAGAAAGTACGAAATAAAATTTAAACTCAAAAACTGGGGGAAGATAATAGGCACATCCATTCTCAGGATCAATTTTAGGTGAAGTCACGTAACACTTTTGTACTAATAATCTCATTGTATGTACACCTATTCCTGCCTCTTCACATCCCCTTAATGTGAATGGTCTGTTGATGACAGTCTCATAGTTAAGCCTTCTAAATATCAAACAGTTAATTTCAGCCGGAAACATAAAAAAACACTGTAACACCCTATTGGAACCCCATAAAGTTTGTACTATTGGAAATTTTGTGATAAAAACACTTCCGAATGTCATTTATCTTGATTTGTTCCTTTCCTAGTCTCAGTCTTTTCATGTTTTATTCATATGGAAGAAAGTTTTCCGTCTGACTTGTATAAGGCGGCTACACGCTCTTTTCATCATTCGGCATTTATTCCTACAATTTGTAAATACTTGTGTTACCTATTATTCCTTACTGTTTCTTCGCGGGCTTTTGAGAAAAAATTTTGCTGTGTTGTAGAGAGTGCTAAAGGCAGCTAGCCTGATGTATTGTGAATATTTTAAGGTTATTACGAATATGGTTGTAGATAGACATCTTGCAAACTCCTGGCAAATGATATCTTATCAGATACTAACTATCCACACCTTTCATATCTGGTAGAGTGAGACATTAACATTTTAGAACCCATGCACGCAAGCAAAAGTATAACGCTCTACGATTTAGAAAATATACTATACAACGAACAGTATGTAAAAGCTGACCTAGTCGTAAACCTGTATTCTTAAACATGTCGTTAAGTAAGAGTCATATAGATTATTATCTTCTTAAAAACATTTCAATCCAGATAGTTTATGTACTTATTTCATGTTTTTATGTATGCAGTCATCAGTTGCTTTTTGTTTTTGTAAAGGAAACTTTTTGAAATACTTTGTGCTGAGATTCAGATAGTTTTCATCTATCAACATGGTACACATCATTCACTAAATTCACGGAATAATGTCACATTTTGATTTAGGAGCCTTTAGTTTACCCTCAATCTACTGCGCTAACCAGCGTTGTGGCAGACAGTGATTGATTGTATGTAACACATGTCTTAACGGCTTCAATCGATGAAGATTTAAAGTCTCAGTGATCGTTTTTCTGGTTTTCGTTTATTGTGCTGTACTTCCTAATCTAGCATTTTGTTCACCCGACACTCCCACTGAAACAGTCTATGATTAAATATTAGTAACCGCCACATGTCCTCTAATTTTAAAGGTAACACTAAAAATCCCGTCTATCTCAGCCGTTGCAAAAGCTAACATACTTTTAAAGGTTAGATTTCGATTGTGAGTTTACGCATATGGGCGTACCCGTGAAGTCTAGTAAAAGCATAACCCAATTGTAGTGTCTTCACTAATCTACTACTACTCTATCAATGTGTATAAACGGTCTGTCATTGTTACTCATCCACTATTCTAATAACAGTATATTAATTTGTTTATTATCAAAACCTCTTTAGGTCTCCAGATGGTTCTTGTATTCTGACAAATAGCCATGATAATATTCTTCGCCTTTTCAATCTACCTCCCTCAATTTTGGAAAATAACGGTGAAGAACCCTCCTTATTTCGACCAGAAGAAATGGTATGTTTTTTTCGTAACAGGATTGTTTATCTGCACGCTTGATTTTGATTTAGTGTTTAGTCATCTAGATTTTCATATTAACCATTTACGAGATTAAGTAACAATTCATATTCTTTATATTCGTACTGGAACTCAATGGTTTTGGCAATTAACTTTTAACTGTAGTATCATGGTGTCAGACTCATTTTATGTAACTTGATTTGGATATTTTGGCAGCATTGCCTGCTTTTATATTGAATGAATACTGTTGACAATCAAGTACATACTCTCGTTTTCGATTACTATTGGTATTATTCTTCAATGATGATGTTTTTATGTATCGCCTGATTAACTGTTCAAGTATTCTATTTCACTGATTTTGATTATCGTATAATTCGGGCACATCTGCTGTTATACTATGTCCACCCTAAGACTAACTGCAATTTTTTATGTACATTCTAATTTAATGGAAATTTGCTTGTCATTTAAAGGTATTTGTTTATATTTACAAAAGAGTTTATTCCTTATGATGAATTAATTTTTGTGCAATGTGAAAATGGTAAACCATTGATCATAACTTACTTATCAGGAGTCGAAGAGCCCTAAGTTATTTACCGTTTATCCATGTCCTTATCTCAAAAAGTGATTGCCAAATGCAATCGTAAGAATAATTATCAAAAGTGATTAAAAGCACTGATGATAATGATTAGTTCAAATGATAACTTACAGTTGTTGCATTACCTATTCTAACTTTACTGTGTATTCTTTACAAATTAGGTTAGGTTTATAGCTTAGTACAAAAAAACTAGCTGATTATTATTGGATCACAATTTATTCACTGCCATTTTGTATACCTTAATTGCTAATGCTCATGATTTGTACCACTTCTCAAGTAGAGTCAATATTAAAAATGCTAACAGTGATATATTGTGGTGAATGGAAACATGATCTACATATCGTATGTACTGTATTTTATGTAAATACCTCTTTATTAGTTATCTACGTTGAATAATAATATATATGAATGAAGCTTATAAAGCTGCATTAGACTATGAGCGGAGACGAAATTAAAAGGGTTCTGGTTTTCATTTGTCACGCTCCTTGCATAATATTGGCCTATTGCTATGACGATTGAGTTATCTATCTCGAATTTTGATGCGGAGACGCAAGCACACAAGATAAGCCAGTTGTCCAAGTAGTGTATCCTTATTAATTGGGACGTTTACAGTATGTATTGTGGTTGTTGGATTGTTGTCTACTCTATTATATTATTACTAACTATGGAGTCTTTGGGTATTTATATGGAACTCGTGGAGAACCAGTTTTTAGTGGATCTCTCTTAATACTAAGAAAATGGTCGAAGGATTTATGCTGAGGAACTGAAAATTAATTACAATCATCTGTTTTGTTCAGGTTAAAATAAAAATAAAAACTTAATAAAGTGATTACTTTCAGAAATCTGTCCTCATGATGCATGAAAAGGAGCTAATTTACGACTACTGTTGGTATCCATTAATGTGTTCTGCTGATCCAGTTAGTTGTTGGTAAGTTCTATCAATTAATTTTAGTATCCCTTTATATGCTGTGTGCTATGTTTCACATATCAGTTACACAAAGTTTTAATTGTAATTTTTTGATCTAACGTTGATTGTTCTTCCAAGATTGTTACTTCAAACGTGATGTCACACCTCACCTTACCGCACGGATTTCCGTCTCCGGCGGTAAGGCCTTTCAAACAAGAACGGAGCTAACACTTTAAATACTACCCATAAGAAGGCTTAAAGCAGTTATCCTTTGAGCTCTGCGGTCCTGCTCCCAGGTCCCTAAGACCAACACTAGTCTACCTTCCATTCCAGGTTCTTCAAGCAACACCCTTCCACGGGGTAGGCAGCCGGGAAGTGACATCCGTCCTCATACCCGTAACAGCTCATGAGACCGAATTGGTCACAAAGAAATCTTTCCTACACCCCCTAGTATCTCTATCATCTCTACGACTAACTCTTCTCACATTCCTTTATCTCACTGTACCGCTAATGCAAACTATGCGAGTTTACGAAACGTTATTCCTGGTCTCCTAAAACCCCGTTCTAAATTACATGTTGGAGCATTTAATGTACGGACATTGTGTCAAATAGGGCAACAGGCATCATTAGCTAGAACTTAAGAATCTCGCGCCATCGATGTATGCTGCATCTCGGAAACGCGCATGCAGGATCCTAGTATGATCATTAATTTGATTTCACCTTATAAAAATAAAGAAGCAAGTCGATTTACTCTTCGTGTATCTGGAGGAACTGATGCTGCTTCCAGGGCTCTCGCTGACAAAATGCAGAGTCTTCTGATCGTCCTAAACAACAATCCAAGCATGTTCGGGATGTGATTCTCCTATTCAAATCGCAAATTGTTGCTTCGGGATCGAGTTGCATCGACACCTGCACTAGTGATAGGGAGTGAAGCAGTTTAATGTGCTAACAGCCTCACTTATATTGGGAGTCTCATCAGTGCTGATAGTCTGGTGATTGACGAAATCTCAGCACGAATAAAGAAGGATCAACTGGCTTTTGTCAAAAGGATGAGTTTATTGCGCAACAGTTCGCTCCGTCCTAATTTGTGACTAGAAAATGGCCAGTAAGTGTAGAGGATATTTGTAGTTTACTGGCTTTCGACCATAGCTGTCTTCGAAGCATTGCTCGTATATCCTGGGACAATCGAGTAAGCAGTGATGAGTTTAGGAAAAGGTTACTTTGTAAGGATAGCAAATCGGTTGATGGCTTAGTGGATCTTCATCAGTTGAAACGATTGAGACACGTGCTACGTATGCCTGACCCACCGATTGTCCTGACGAGCGATGTTTTGTAGTACTGAAGTAGGTTGGAAGAGAACTAGGGGCTACCAGACCAAAATATGACACAAATCCATGAAGTCACTGACAAGTGGACTGAGCCATTTTTTAAGTGTAGGCTACCTAGTTGGCTTCTGCTGGACAATCCTAACCGGTGGTGAGAGATTTTGAGTGACATACCTCAAAATCGTTTGCAATGGCGCAGGTGCATCCATTATTTGTCTCCCCTCAAATTCTGTTCTTCTGAATTCCCCATAACTTTTTTATCATTGCAACTTTATGTCACTAGATTATACTTCGGAATCAGATCTTTGATGCCTAGTCGTTTCCGTCACCGCTGATAGTTCTACTACTTCTACTAATATGGGATTTGAATTGGCAATCGCATTTCTGTGCTAATGTGGTATGGCGATTTGGACTGATGTACGTACACACCAGATTTTACGTTGTTACTGACTGACTCAATGACATTTAGCTACTGATGTCTTGCTCAATTTCGTCATTTTAATAATAGAAGTGAATGTTTCCTTTTATGTTTTAATTTCTGTGTCTTTCTTTTTGGTAATGAGGAATGTTGGATTGTGTTTGCCTTACATTTATCATTATTTCTTTTCAAAACAAATATACCGTGATTAAAGTTTAGCTAGTACTAGCCGCCGAAATCCTATTCGACTGTGGGATGCTTTCAGCGGATTGATACGAGCAACTTATACTCCCATTAATCATTTGGTAAGCTAAATATGATGAATCTATTTATGTGAAACCTTTAATAATTCACTGAGAATGAATTTAGTTTGATTAAGAATCGAGTCGGAATAAATTTGTTCGAAATTATATTTTCATTCTATTTTTCCTAAAATTTAATTTCGTCAGATTTTGTTTTGCACTAAAAGCAAACTAGAGCGTAAAAAGTTCCGTTTTTTCGTTACAAAATCATCTGCCAGGAATTTCATGCTCTTTCTGGAATCCATACCAACGCATTACCTAACTTTGTAATCCTAAAGACGTTACTACTGATACATTTTGGTATTTCGGTTTTTGGCTAGATGTTATGAGGCAGTGGACTCCCACTAATATTTATTTAAGTTAATAAGTTTTTAGTTCCAACAATTTACAGATTTTTCATACAGTTCGAACTTGAGATTCTTCAAACTATAAGCAGAAATTGTCGATACTAAAACTTATATTCCAATATGAAAACCAATTAATTTAAGAATAATAGAGTTCTTTTTCTATGTTTATATGTGGACAATATCAATATCGTAAAACTCAGTGTTATAGTGATTTCAATTCTTTACAAAGTATGAAGAGAGAAACAACAAAACTGTGATATTTAGTGACTCGTTAACTTATTAGCATTATGATATCTCTGTCAGGTATAAATTGTCTCTTTTCTTCTTGTGTTTACCAACGGACTATGACGCACAATATATAAGCATTTTAGTCTTAATAGCTTCATGACTAACTTGCCTTATTTATTCGGGCGTTACATTTCACTTTTAGTGCTCAGCCCTTTCACTGAGTACTAGTAGAGTTTTGAAGTTATCGATAGTCGAATAACAGTAACCCATCTTATAGCACTGATATCTAATAATCACTGCTTACAGGTTGCAGTTGTTGTGGACTACACCTATTCGTTTCTGGATAGTTTACTATCAGTTCATTAGATAGTACATGGTGATGATAATTTCTAAGTAATATTTATTTGTTACGAGGACTAACACATTTTGTTGAAAAATTAATAAACAAATGTTAACTCCCTACTCGTAAATGTTTTAGTTTAAACCAATCCAAATTATTCTTTCGCATCTTAATGATATTAATAACCATTAATAATCATAAAACTAACTAAAAATAATGAAACCAGGTTTGGTGGCCCGAGATCTAATTTGGACCAATAATTAAATATGCAATGAAATGAATCCCTTCGATTTTCTGTATATTACATTTCGGCTAACACTGTTTGTGTGACGGCAGTAACAAGAAGCTTAATACCGGTTTATTTTGGATGAATTTATTTCATATATTCGCGTAAGCATACAGATAGTAAAGGGAAGCGTAAAAACGAAGCTAAGTGATGCGAAGAATGCGACTGGGCCAACTTGATGTGACGAGGCATGACAAAAATAAACTAGACAAAGCAAGCAATGCACATGTGTACTCATGTAAAAAGCACCAAAGTTATAAGCGAATAACGGACTAGGTCGAAAGACATGTGATCAACTGGAGAGGAATAGACTAATCAGTTTGTCAAAGGGCTGGAACAAGCCATGTGGACTCAACATATTAGTACATACTACACAAGCATTCGTGATATTTACCACTAGTTGCTCCTATCGTTAATGAATAAACGGGAAATTATCTGTCAAGCCAATCTACGAACAACAGGTTTTCTTCTGTTCTTTAAGTTCAATGACATTAAACCGGTACTAATTTTACTCACATATTTTAAGCATTTTACAAATTTTTGGGATCGTAAACTGACTGAAGTTGCTTGTTCATAAGTTATTAAAATCAGTACTTTTTATTTTTATTATTCCATAGGGTGAAGTTGCTTCCGCCTCTAGTTTATCCTTTTCTTCTAATGGTCAACGTCTATACGCCGGATTTCACCGATACATCCAAGTGTTCGATGTTTCTCGTCCTGGGTCAGAATCAGTTAGGCGACCAAAACTTGGAAGTAAGGAATGAATAAATTATAGCCTTGTTTAACAGAATACACCACTAGGTAATATATATCGTCAAAAGTTTATCATCAAATATTTCAAATCTTTTGAATTTGTAATTGAGAACGTAACTGAACTAGTTAGGGGTCAATTAACACTACTGAAATGCGGTCCTCGTAGGAAATCTATACGATACCAACTTTTCTCTTATGACAATAAGAGCCTCATAAATATAATTCACCACACTGAAAAAGTCAGCTTCTCTTAAATATGTATGAGTTGCGAACAATTTTGAAAGTGTTAACACAACCTATCTGTATAGTTAGTTTTCGGAAAACCATTTCGGCATTTGAATAGGAACATAAATATTATTTCGATGTTGTTTAAGTTGTATGCAAATAAAAATATTTTCTTCTAAAGTCTTTAAATTGATATCTTGTGGATTGTATTTATATAGAGATAGTCATTATTATTTGTTTGATAATGACAGTGTATAACGTTTGATGAACTGTAAATAAATGCATTGGTTGTGTGACTTTTCTGGTATTGATTAACTAAAATGAACAGATGAAGCGTCTACTGAATAATTATTACCTTATGTTATTGTTAGTTAAACGTTAATCTATTCTAAATGACTACAATTTTTTTTATACTGAATAGAAAAACCATTTCAAGGTGGTATAATATCATGTATTGGTGTTTTAAATGATCCAAGTCGAAATATTTACGCTACAGGTTCCTATAATGGAACTGTATGTATATTTTCAGAACCTGGTAATCTTATTACACGTTTATTCAGTCATCAATCTGGAGTTACTCAAGTGACGTTGACAAAAACATTTGCAGGAAAAAGTGGTGCACCATGGTATGTTCTTGTTGGTGGTCGGATGGATTCACGTATATTTGTTTGGGATGCAAGAAATTTAGTAAATCCAATAACAATAGTTCATCGACGTATTGAAAATCACCAAAAGTTCCAGTTTGATGTTGAACCGTAAGTATACTGTTTTTTCTTGTATTTTTCTCTCTCATAACTACTATATCAGTTAAATTACTTGACCATTCTACGATAATAAATAATTACTTTACCACTAACAGTTTAATTTTTAACGCCTACTTACCAATTGTGTATTAGTTAGGTGAACGTATAATATACTATCCTTAATAAACGAGAACACATTTGTCACAAGAGTTAAATTCAAGTCAATTTAAAGACTATTCATTCGAAAGAGTGTAAATAAACTGTGACAATTATTAATGGAACACTATCGTTAAGACACTTGCATATTTCTGTCACAAAATCAGTTTTTAATTATTTCAATTGTAGATCGTTATAATACCTTACAACTTTGTTTCCATATGATATTTAAAGTGAAGACGTAGGTTTTAATATATTAAGTCTCTAAGAAAGTGATGACTGTAGAGTTGGTCTGTGTATGCTATTGAATTACTAAAAAGATACCAGTTTGAGTTTAAATATCAAAACTGAGTGCGAATTTTCTCGTTTTCCGTTTCAGACAGCTGATGATTGTCAGATCACTTGTTTTTAGGGGAATAACGGTTCATTATGACAGTTACCTAAACAACATGCTCTCCACAACTGTTAAAGTGAATACATATATGGAATTTTACTTATCTACGTTATGCGATAGTATTCATTTGCTTAAAAAACTTAACTTAGTCAACGTTGAAATAGGAAAATATATCTTTCTATTTAGGACATCAAAGTATTATTAGCGTTTCGATTATATCATAAACTGTTCACATTCATGATATCTCAATAGATGCGTTCAAAATCTTCCACAATTTATTTCTCGTTATTTTTAGCACTGGTCATTATCTGTTTACTGGAAGTCAAACGGGTGTTGTTTGTGTATACGATTTACCTCAATGTATTAGCCAATTTTCTGAAAATGGACAAACTTATCCTTCTTCTAGTTGGCGAGCTCATTCTGACAGTACAAATGGTGTCAGTATACACCCCAGTCTTCCTATTATAGCCACTTCTTCAGGTCAACGTAGAATTAGACAACCAACTTTGAAGCATGCATGTAAAAAGCAACGTATAACAGAAACAACATTAGAAGTTCAACATTCTCTTCCCGATAAAAATATATCATCTAATAGATCGATATTAGAGAGTAGTGATAGTGAGAGCGGTTGTAATAGCAGTAGTTGTGATGAGAAAATGCTAGGTGATGATGAAGCTGCTGTAATGACACCGCCAGTCTTAGTTACTGGTAGTACAACATCATCAGGTGAAAATGATGCTAATCCAACGGTTGAAGAACTCCCTTTAGCTTTGAAAGGCAAATTGACATTGTTACCAAAAGAAAATCGTTTAAATCTGTGGACATTTCCTTTATTAGTAACTGCATAAATTTTCATTCCTTCTCTCTTAATTTCTGTTTTTTTTATCATTTTGTATATATGAGAGAAAAAAATATTTTATACTGATGCTTTTAATTTATATTTAGCGTCGCATTTTTAATGCTGTGAAACAGTATATATTGCCTAATCTTATTAAACTGAAATGATCATTTCAGTTCGACAAGTTTCCATTCTTTATTAGAATTGTATTTCTTTCAATTCCTACTAATAGCCGAACCACAATCAAAGGGTTGGTTAAACGAAATAATTCACATCCAGTTTAAATTCCAAGTGCCTAGATTTCTGTTTTTCTTTGAAACATCAGACATGAGCGTTACTATTAAAACATGTCGAAAGAACTATGGTTATAAACTTCATCAGTATGTTAATAGACTATTATTTACTTACTCTGAGATACAAAACTGCAATAGTTCCTATTTTTACTGCGACTCAGAGAGAAAGAAATAGACAGGGTTTAGTTAGCTTATTCTTAGGTAAATGTAACTGAATCCTATGTATACTTAAAATATTTTTTCAAATAAAAGAAAATACCAAATAAAGTAAAATATGGGTTTTTATTACGGAAAATTGAATGTATGTACTGAATGTTAGCTTCATTAAAATCATGCAAGTTGTCTCACAACTCCAAAAAAGAAAGGAATTTCTAACACATTTCATTTTTAGAATTAGGCTACTTTGGCATTATATGCAAATGTGTACTTATAATAATATATAACTAAATCTAGCTATATTCAGTTGATGAAAATACAGACTCTACCAGCTCATAAAATTAATATGTTTTAGTGTCCAAAAATGATGTCTCTGTGTTAATATATGTATGATGCGGCTAATCTTATTACAATTCTGATTCACCGTATAAACTTGCTGCAAATGAGGTATAATCTAAAGCGCCACCGTTTGCAACACCTGGTCCATTGTACGCTTTCATACGATTAATACAATAATCAGCCAGTTCAGGTTCCAGTTCACGTTTCAATTGTTCTGTTGTGATGTATGGCTTTATATAAACAATTAAAAAAAAGAACGTTTTAAAGATAGTATGTTTGTGTAGAAAGCTCGACAGAAGGTGACTGTGACAAATCACCTAAAGTATCACAGCTGTTAAATAATTGTTATCTTATGAGATAATGAATAACCGGCAAAATAGGATGAGGATGTTTGACCCTACTTTTCAAAAATAAAGGAAGCAACAAATAATAGCTATAGATTTTTATACAACAGCTTATTACTGAATGTGGAAATCCGGTTAACTTTTTGTGACTGCCATCTTTTTAGAATTACTATACACACTTCACAACTCTAAATCTATATTAAGTTACAGAACCTCTAGATGGTGGAGAAAATTTGTAGCTCAGGTGGATGATTGTGGTGGTGTTTCGTTCTATGAGCTGGATGTTTTGGTTGTGGAGCTTTCAACACCGCCACAATAAGGGATACCTAATAGAACATCGAACTTAGTAGACAAGAATGAATAAATAGTGTGAAATGGTGTTTTAGTTTTGATTTTATGTCAACAAATTTTGATTAGTCGAAAGTGCGATATGGTAAGTTCACAGAGCAATACATGGGTCTTTCCATAGAAGTGAATTAATTATGATCTAGTTGTTTCTAGAAATAATGTAATCGGTTTAGATAAACTTTAAAATTGAATACCATTCGGTACGCATATACTTGTGTACTAAGGAAGTTAATTTATCCACGATATAAGAGCATGGACATTACAATAATCAAATCGAAAAAAAAGTTGGTAAACTTACTGTATCACCTGCTAAAGTTCTAAATGAATTAACCATTTGTTCGACTGTATCAGCTTCCATTGTTTGTTGTGACATAAACTGCATGAATGCATCAAATGTCACATAGCCAGTACAATGTGGATCAACAGTTTTCATAATACGCATAAAATCAGCTTCACCCTATGATAAATCAGCAATACAAATGAAATTTATTTAATATTCCAATAAATTTAACAGTAACATGATAAAGGCAATTAAATATAATTATTCTTTTGTAATAAACTATCAGAAGAATTATCTAGTGAAGATAGAGAATAACGGTCGGAGTATTTAGATAATATATTATTCTGAGAACGTACAATGTTTATGCATTCTCATTCTTAACAGTTGAAGTGAATACCAACTAGTTGTAAGAAAAGAAACCCAGCTAATACATGCACCATCAAATTACTGGTACTGAACAATAGTATCCGAATGAGATAGTCTCTTGACTCGAATCAACCGACAAGATAAATAATGTAGTACTAGTAAGTTAATCAATAATAAGCAACAGAGTATCTGGTTAGGATTTGCATCAGTTCAAGTCGTTATATTTCAGATCGCCTCGAGAAGAGCGAATCAAAAATATGAAAACTTAATGTAGAGAGTAACATTTTAATAGAAAAGATGGATGAAATATAGAATAAAAAGTATGAAATATGACGGGGAGTGGGTAAAGTACGGAAAAACATAATTTTTGGTTATTCAGGTAGATTTTGATTCATGCTGCTATTTAGTTGAAACAATCTTATTGGAAAGTTTATCCGTGAACTAAAATAACGCTAAAAAACCGTTTAGTGAATTCAATGAATCTATTGCCAGTGGTTATCCCAACTAAGATCAGTCCGTGACGAATATATCCTGTTGATTGAAATACTTTGGCTTCGACTGTATGCTTGTTATGTTCCGAACAAACACTCAATCTGTTAAAACTACTGACGCAATTGTATTAAAGTTTGACTTGATTTTACGGACGAAGTATACAGACAGAAAGTCGAATATAAAAAGCACACATTTAAGACAACTGATTTTAATTTCTTAAACAGATGTATCTCCTGTGTATAATTGGATAAGCTTAATAAAAAATTATATGGATGAAAAATAGATTCAGGAACGATGATCTGCTTGGTAAAATAATACAACAGATGTGTAGTTTTAGTAGTGCTAGTAATATTAGCATGGTAACTGTTAATAACTTTTACAGTCTAAATGTATTTGCTTATATTATTTCATACAGTATATTCAATACATTCTATCACAGTTCAGAGAAAGCATTGTATACTAAAACCTCCATAACATTTTTTATAAAACTTATAACCACTAGCAGTAGTTTTTAAATTTATCACTTCTGAAATTTATGTTTAACAGTACACAATCAACATGTTTATGTATACGAGTGATTGTATAGTCAAAGAAGATAAAATAGACAAGGGGAAAAAAGTCGGGCAAGAAAAGGAAGACAACCAACTAATTCATGACTTGTCAATAACTAATATCACATAGTGAAGTATTTATTGCTAAGAGAATTGTTGATTAAGTATTTGAATAGTATATGTATAACTCTAAGTGTTTAAACTCACAATTTCACCAAAATAGAAAAATCCCGTGAAATTATTGAAATATTTATTTTAGAGGTTATTCTTGCAATTGGTGTTTTTATGCAAGAGATTAGACGTGATAATAAACTGTTAACTTGAAACAATTCTTGTTTCAACGCCAGTGAAATCTTTACAATTGAACGAACATCATGGGGTAGAGACTGATTTCATTGTGGAATCTTATCAGCCAAGTTACAACGTAGATAACATCTTACATGACTCGACGTCGCGTGCACTATATATTGAGATTTCAGGTGGTTGGACGGCTAATGCAATAAATTGTATCAATATTACAGATATACCTTTCTCACGAATGCCCATTAGCTCAAAACTTGGATCTAGGGTTTCCTGCTGACTTCTTATAAACATCTAACACACACCTAATGTTTGTGATGAACAACGTTCATACTTATTCAGAAAAGAAAGTTTGTTGTTTGACATAATAAAACTGTAATAATGAGGATTATTTCTATACGTATTTTCCGTTGCGATGTCTAAATATGTAACTTTTTTTAAAAATTCATAGTTGATTTGATTTTAATGTTTACCATTAAAATTTCTAATATAATCAAAAACGAAATACCGAGTAACAAACATTATTAAATGTAGATGTCAAATGTTTATTAAAGAAATAAAAAGTAATAGACTGACTTGAGAACTATTCGGTATGGTAAATCCAAGTGATACAAGACATGCTCTAAAATCTAATGGATCTAATCGGCGAGTTCTGTGTTTATCGAAATGATTAAAACATCTACGAAATTCTTCCATTTGTTGTTCCGTAACACCACGATAATCATTAGCTATTATACGATTTTCGATTTCATTTTGACCACGTTTTATATTAGTTTTCAATTGTTCCCATCCAACACGTAAAGTTTCCATTGTATATCGTGTATGTGGATTATGTATAATCAGAAATTCTTGTTGTTTCTATGAATTATAAACAAAAACAAACAATAATTTGTATTGTCATCAATCATGATTGTGACAATTAAGAAATAGAAAAATTTTCTAATCATTATGAAACATTTAAAAATATCAAAAACAAAACACTTGTATAATACCATGAACGGATAGATTATTTCTATTTGAAAACACTATCATCGATAGGAATAATAATACAAGCATTAATCTTTGAACTCAATTACTGATTAAATAATTATCTGATGCCAAAAGTGACTGACTAGTTTAAGTTTCAGTGGAACTAACAATATCTAATTTTATTAGAATGTTAAGTTTCCAAACGTTTCTATTACAAATAAACTTTTCAGATTATGCATTATATCAGCAAACATAGAAAAGTGAGTAAGAACTGTGTAATAATTAATTGTGACAGTAAGTTATTATTTAACTTGCCTGAAACCTATTTCCTTAAAAAAATGATGAACATGTAATGTGAGCCATAAAAACTTTTAACAATCTGTTAAACAATACTTAGTGTCTTTGATCAAATGTAATTATTATTTTAGAGATAAGGTTTTAATAGAAAATGTTATCACTTTATGTTGCTCGTATATCCTGGGACACCCGAATGAGCAACGCTGTTATTAGGAATCGGGTGCTAGGTAAGAATGGCAGATCAATAGATGAAGTAATGAAACTTCATCAGTTGAGGTGATTCGGACATGTGTTGCGTATGGCTAAACACCAACTGCCTCGACGAGCTTTGTTTTGTAGTGTAGGAGTAGGTTGGAAGAAAGTTAGGGGCGGCCAGACCAAAACATGGCAGAAATCCATGAAGTCATTGACAAGTGGACTGGGTCATGTCGGTAGTTGTCGACTAACTGATTGGGGTCCGCGAAATGATAATAATCGATGGTTAGATACCCTGAATGTCATGGCTCAAAACCGTTTGCAATGGCGCCGGTGCATCTATTCTCTGTGTTCCCTCAAATCCTAATCTTCTGGATTCTTCAACACCTCTAGTTTTGACTTTCTTAACTTAGCTCACTGAATCATACTTCTTCAATATCTTCTAATCCTAACCTCTCCGATTACTTCTAATACGTTTACTACCTGTTCTACTTTTGGATTTGAATTGACAATTATATCTCTGTGGTGATGTGGTATGGCAACATGAACTGATGTACTTACATACGAAGTTCTACGTTGCGTCTGACTGACTGTTATCACTTTATATTCCAGAAGCTACTTCAAGT